AATTAAAATAAACAATGAGAAAAGAAAAACAATGGGCTTGTAGATTAGTGAACATGATGTCACACGTATGATTTCAAGTAATTTAACAAAGTATAACTATTAATGTGACTTAAAGAGGGTAAGAAAGAGAAGTTAAATTGTCATTTTAAAAAAACGGTTCGTTTATAAACTTAGATGGATAAAGTTAACTAGCAGTACTTTCAGCATGTATATGTAAAAACAGTTGTACGGTACATATACTCATGAAGGTGCCAGAAGTGTTTTAAGCCCGTGTAAAGAGGACGCGTACAATAGAAAATCACAAGAGCATAGCATGACATAGCACTGCATAGCTCCAATTGGATCTGATAATACAACCATTGATTGATAGAAAGCATTTCTGTCACTTGAGGAAAACAAAAGCAGACAGGAATGGGTGTGTAGTAGGGTGGATATAATAGAGGTTAACCCGTCACAAACATTGCACATAAGACGTAAACAACTCAGCAAAATAAGACGAAAAATAGAATCGGCAAAAATCAAATCGAAACGTTAACACCGAAAAACAAATCCAAACAAAGCAATTAACTATCTAGGTGTCTGCAACAAAGAATGAGCCCAATAAACAGACCACGAAAAACGACAAACAAATATGGAAGAACTCGGCACAGGCCCATGAAAATTGACAGGCAGGGAGAAAAGCGACCGGTCGCTCAGATACAAGTCAACACTTACCTTCAAGGCGTTTAAATCAATCTCATCCAGTGAACAATTTACACTCGGGGCGAGTGAACTATTCTGCGCCATCTTGCTGACGGGTGCCAGTGCCAAAGGCAAAACACTGCAGCGGCGGCCACTCCTTCAAGTCACCGAGCCTCGCCACAACAGCGACCCGAGCACGCACTAATGTCCAAAGGTTCAAAAGGTACCGCTACCTCCATACAACGAAAATATTTTGCCCACAATACGTGTGAGTCCCCATCCCGCGAGATCGTCACACCTATCATCAAACGCTAGGCTCCAGTCCAGACGTAAAGTGACGTCAGCTAGAGCCACCGCCCTCCGAATGTCGGCCAGGTCGGTGGAGAGAGACTTCCTACAAGGCTGCGACCGGCACTGCCACCATATCCGCGTGAAAGACGAGCACCGCTCAGGATAACTAACGATAGAGCCCCGTCTTTTTCAGCGTGGATGTCGAAAATGCATACGAGACATAAACCGAAAGGTTAGTTTGCGTGTCGCTGAAAGCTCAAACGTCTAATTTCCTTAGTCCTGCCGCATACCCGTGAGCCGATGGTGTTGCCCAGAGTGTGAGACCGTCAAACTTCCCTCCCACCCAGGTCCCTCTCTCTTCGATTCACTGCAGTCAATGAACTTTTCCACGATAACTGGGAGGAAAGCCGATTTCTGCTGTGGATTCGTTGACTTGCCGTATCTATCTGAGAGTTTATACCCGAATTAGAAGTCGCCGACTGCCCTGCCCCATGAGGTCTAGGGCACGACAACATGGCCACAGTCAGAAAGATATCGTCTCGTAGGAGGCCTGGCGATCGATAAGTCAACGAACCTTGGGCACAACAACGGCGACGTTACCGATGCTGTGCAAAAGAACCAAGTTGGTAAATAAAGTAACGCGAAGAAACATGCACGTACTTCAAGTTGACCTACAGAAACACGTGGCGCTGCTGGGGCGGAAAAAGATTCCGATGCCGGGAATCGAACCCGGGCCTCCTGGGTGAAAGCCAGAAATCCTAACCACTAGACCACATCGGATGGTGGGCATTTCCAACCATGGCAGCGTTCATGTAGGAGAGGGGGAAGGCGCCTCTGGCGACGTTGCCGCACGAGCGAGGACTCCCGAGCGCAGTCGGAAGCGACCGAAGGTGACCGAAGCGGCGGCCGAAGTCAGCCGCGGGAAGTGCGAAC